GAGGAGTTTCAGTGGAACCCATCCAAGTTTCCTTGTTAAGTATTCAGGTAGAGTGAGCCTCATTGTAATGCTTCTGGTCAATAAGTTCAGTGGGAACTTTATACTATGGCATGAAAGGGTTCATGTGTTAGTTTAAGTATGAAACTGTCAATGACATGTCAAAAAATCAGTCTATAAGTTCTTCTTCATCTCAGAATAATGAGTGTTCCATATGTCTCCCAGGTAACCGTGCAACAACGGGGAGCAGGGAGCAGCAGGAAGTGGGTTTTTCTTTCAACTTAGTAAAGCGTTTCCATGGTGATTCAACTTCCTGGCAGCTCCATCTGGTGGTAGAGGTAGCTCACCCAACATACACAGAGCTCCACCCCCTGCACAGGGTGAATTCTACAGGGTAATTCCCACACAACACACGATACAGCTAAACAACAGAAACATCCACACAATGCTGAAGATGCTTCAGGTTCTAACATACATGTATTCCTTTTATCAGATATATACCAAGTTCAAGAAAGGTCGTGGTAGGAGTATTGAGAGCTTAGTATAATGTCTAGGTTTCTGAGCAACATCTTGCTCAAATGATCTGGACTCGTGACAACTCTAGAAGTAGATCTTCACATGACCCTATTACCATTTCTGTCATGTAACATCAGTGATTTTAGGAATGTATGTGTTGGTGTGTGGCAATGTTCATACTCCGGAAAGTTTGAGACAAGTTTTGAATAACGTTTTATGTTACGTCACTCAGAAACAAGAACCATAGGCAGTACTGTTTTATGTTTCTTAATGTTATAATGTGAAATATCTTGAATTTGTTTCAGTACCCAGCCACTCAGCGTGTATTATATGTACAATAAATGTGATCCTATGTTATGCCTGGAGATCTAACTCATGAAGATCCGTGAAAGAATTGGTCTTCAGCAGCCCATGCTTGTCGTAAGATTCGACTAACAGGAGCAGGTGGTCAGGCTCGATGACTTGGTTGACATCATCATATCCTACTTTCAATGCTCATGATGTTGATCACTGGATTGTCTGGTCCAGACTTCATTATTTACAGACCGCTGCCACATAGCTTGAATATTTTGCTGAGTGCGGTGTTAAACAACAAACCAACCAACCAACCAGCCTGGAGACCCCGGACTTATTCTACAAATTCTCCCTAAAGTAACTACATCATAGAACATTTTCCCACTAGACATCTGTCATCTGCAATTCCACCGTCACCTTGAGATGAGGGTTCCATCCAGGAGGCGCACTACAGTGTTTGTGAGACGTCACATCATGGGGGAGCACACATTAGACACCAATAACCGACAGTGAACGGATTGCACACAACCTTCTCATGTCTACCACTGATAAAATTCCTAAAAATACTTCAGATAACATCTCCATGGCAACCAATTTAAGGTAAAAGTGGTGATATCAACCTGCTAGTTGAGATTGTCATCACTTTGCAGCATACAGAGGGTTAGGAAGACTAACCAGCCAATTATCATCATGTACTCAAGGCTCTTCTCCTCTCCGCTTACACACATCACAAAAACTGTTGGTCAAAATTAGAACCATCTAAAAATATGCATGTATAGTTCAAGTGAGGATACTTCCAGTACATCATCAGCTTTCTGACATACAATCTAATACAAATGTCACTGAAGTAGTTAACCAGAGTCATGCAAAGAACTGTGCTTTCTACAGACACTTCTTGTGATTAAGGATAGAATTTTGTCTTCCCTGAACTGACTGTATGGCTGAGCCACTCCTGATGCTAAACCAGATTCACTAAGTAGATTACAGCAATACATTAAGTCAGAAAGTGCTATCCAGGTTAACTAGATCCTAGTTTCCATGAAGAAAAGGATGGTAAATTGCATTTTCTTATTGAGTTGGCAAAAGGTATTTCTCCTCAATCATATTCTTGTTGAGCAAATGCAAGTGCCTGTATACACATACAGGCATGACAACAATTATTAAAATACATATTGATAATCTTATTACATATTTTTTAAATATAACTTCATAAATATATTATTTTCTTAAATAGCTGATAAATACTGTCCAAAGCAGCTATAAAACAATTCTAAATCATTATTATCACATTTAGTTTCAAACATTGTGTCATAAATCACTTTGGCACCAGAAATAAAGACAACAAACCAACAATTTTAATCAATGTACTGCTTAGTATAATGTCAACTGTATCAATGACCACTTATCAGATTTATTGTAGATTAGCAGGTAGTATTCAGTGAGATGTTATCTGGACAAGGATGTAAAACAGCAACAGTATATTCCTCCATGAAACCTGAGTCAGATTTATTCAGTCTGTAGCCAAACTTCCTGAAAGTATTTCAGACCGGTGTTTCCCTCCCAGCATTCCCCAGTTTACCACTGCCTGCTCTCTTGATTGGTTGGTTCCACAAATAGCAACAAGCACAGTCAGGCAGTGCCAGCTAGCCTACACTTACATTATCAAAAGGACAAATGTGAATCTGTCCACACATTTGTGAACTGAACACTATCCAGGCAATGTCATGTAGCCCTGACAAGTATCACTGGACTCAGTAATGGCATCCATCCTTCTGACATCCTGTAAACTGGGGCCCCAGTCTCAGATACTCCATACAATCATGGTAACAGAAGGGTTACAGCAAACTCCAGCACTGTGATGGTTCTCTGCATGTTACATAACTCAGTGATGGTGAAAACTGTCTCTTGTAATCTGGTGATCTTTCCAGAAGGAGTTGGTGTAGCTGCTGCTGCTAAATGGAGAACAAGCTGTTCAAGTGTGCAGAAGAACTTCAAGACATCCTGTGCCGACTGAATGGTTGCCTCATATCTTTGTAGACATATTCAGTTTCAGACTATCAGACACTTTCTGTAATATCCGTTGAAAGTCGTCTAGTTTCATATTTCTTTTACAACATCCAGACAATTCAAGACCATTTGAAATTGTGATGTTCTGTAAAACTGAATTCCTTATTACACACAAATGATTTGAGATAGTTTTGTTCACAGAGTAGGTTACTTGACAACTTACTACTTAGTTATGGAAAAAACAAAATGGGAGATGGATTGAGGCCAGATGATTTAGTTCAGAGCTTTATCAAAACAAATGAATCATAATTATCCACAAATAGAACTTTTCAGTCCCCACTCAATACTCATCTTCTGAGGCAGATACTGTTGCGACAGAAATAGAAGAGAGTGGGACTGGTTGGAGAGGGGGCACTTCAGATACAGGGGAGATTGTGGGGTGATGATGGTCAGTAGGGGAGATACTGTGATAAACATGATATGGACTTGTACAAGTCTCTAAACCAACAATTATTAGTTAACATTTTAATTTCTAGATTACAGGGTATACAAATAATATGTACACACTGTCACTATGAAAGACTCCCATTCTAGAATTTCCTGACAGAACAACTGTACACTGGACATACAGTGCAGACTTGAGCATGGTTAGAACATGTGCAAGTCTTTAGAAGAGGCAGGGCAAGATGGGAGGGATGGTGGGGGGGTACAGACTGGAAGGGGAAAGGTACTGTCAGATGATGGAGAGATTGTGTGATGGTTAGCTGGTGATACTGTGATAAACATAACTGGTGGAACCTAGAGAACACGGAGGGATCAGGTGTAGTCTGTCTCACAGTCCCTGAACCATATTCATTTCCCTACTGCCAAGCCCTCTCTGCAGTGCTAAAGCCCTAAATAAAGCAAGTCTAGATTTCCTCAGGTTCTGAATCTCTGGTCTCCCTAGGGCTCCTTTTCAATATAAATGGGCTTGTTTGTTACTATCAAAATTATATATATTCAGAGACTAAGCCTTAGTCTAGATCAGGTGTACCACAGGTAGTAACACTGGCAACATTCACTGACTGGGCCTGTACAATCAGTGGACTCATCACTAGGCTCTTTGTATCCTCAATTCAAGAAAAGGTTTTACTCATTTGATAAAAGCTTTTTTTATATCCATGTGCAGCAGTTTTTAGTTACATTCCTAGTGCTCAGACCTGGTACATGTATTCGTGTACAATAGGCGCATGAAAAGCATCACTGACCTAATACCTATAGTCATTTGAATGTCATACCCTCTGAACTTTGGTGAGACTGTATGTGAAATCTAACTGCTCCATGAGAAACATCATAATACAGAGCGTACTTAACCTGCTCCACGCAGCATAAAAACAAGAAATATGGTTCAGAGTTAAACACCAACATGACATATATTCTTTTACTAACCCAACCCAAGGCTCCACATAACCAACAGTGTAACGCCATGAAGACAGACACGTGGAATGTGACCCAGTAGAACAAGGATGACAGAGTTGCATCCCCTGATCCACAGATGACAGCAAGCTTCAACAATCTCTCTCACTTTGAGTCTTGGCACACATCATACATCCAAAACTATGTTTCTTTCTATTCACACACTAAGCTGATGTGTGATACAAGTTATACAACTTACAATCCCCCCATTGAATTTTCATTGAATCATGAAAGGAGAGACGATCAAGAAAGGATAAGATACATAATCAAAGACACAACATACTATAGTAACTGATCAATATTCTGGCACTATGATGGTTTGTTGTTCAGCTTTCAAACCTAACTCATCGTCAGCATACAAATGAAGTACTTACTTACACAATAATGAGGTTCTTAAGAGGTATATAGAAGTTGGTATTCAAGTATAAGACAGAATATTATGGATGTCAACTTCTTTAAAATATTACGGATGTCAACTTATTCTTTGAAAGAAGAAGTTTACATCAATAATATTTTGTCTTATACTTGCACAATAATGCTGACAAATAGAACTCATTACAAAATTTCAAATTGTAGAAATGTACAACTGAAATTTTACATACAAATGTTAAAAACACATTAAACTAAACCTAAAAGTAAACCATGCTATTCTTTTTTCAAGACAAAATAATCAAACCGTTGCCACTGGATGGATACAGTGTAAGGTTCACAGTGTACAACACCCAACCTACCTGTGGGAATATCTGCAGTGATCTGAGAGGGGCAGACTGACAACTGTCTCCTTCATCATGGATGCCTGACTGCTGCCCACATCACATCCTCCACAGCAGCATCTGCAGCAGACACAACGACCTACATAACAAAGGCGTTACAAGTGGTCGGTAACAGTCACCCTATTCTTAACAACATAGTTCATTTGAGCTCGCAATGTTGCATTCCTACTATGGTGGCAAAGATGAGCTAATATTGTGTACAGTCAATAGGAACTGAACTCAAGGAAACAAGCACACCACCAAACCACCCACAAGCCACTTTGAACTACCATTGCACCCAAAAACATTAAGAAAAAATCTGTTTCAACCAGACACCATATAATAAATGGTTTCTGTTTCAACATATTTCCCATTGAGCCACCATCCCACCCAAACACACTTTCTTTAAACCAATATCAAACCCCAAAAGACCCAGTAAAAACAAAATGCCCATCTCAGTGCATCTCCGTTCTTATCACTGTACATGACTAGATCACACATCAACATGTCCCTACCTGTGTTTCTATAACAGGCTACATACACTCGACTTGAAGCTTACCAGAGTTAAACAAAAGAGTAGAGCAAATAGGCTAGAAACATCCTTAACTGTTCGGTTTCCACCATAAACTCTCATAAAGAAACACACTTCCTTCACCCACACAACTCCGGGATGAACAAAGCAAAGTTTCTCCACACATTCCTCCACAAAACTAACATGAAGTGTTCTCTGCTCTCACTCAAGTCATTAGTAGCAGGAATTTGAAGTGGGCAACACTCATGTACAGTGCACTCACTGGAGGAAGAATGTAATAATCTCTTCTTGAAATGGATCCCTGTTAATAATCTTCTCTTTGAATGTAGGTACATTGCATAACACAGAGTACCCCTGAGATATCAATTAAGGTGGGCTTCATTAAACTGGCCATGAGAAAGGTCTAGTACAGATTGTGCTTGATCAGGGCAATTACCTGTTAACTGATCAAACACTCGGGAGAGGATAGCATCATCAGATAGAACATATAGAATTTCAGTTTTGAAACATTTCAATATATTTAGACTCTTTCAAAGAAAGGGTGAATACTACTTTCAGTTATCATGTACAGTGGAAGCTGTCAAAACCGGCAGTTGTCCAATCCGGCAAGTTGTCAACACCAGCATAAAATCTCAGTCCCGTCCATGGCTAGTGCAATTATCATCATTTAAAAGCTCTGCAATCCGGCAGCTGTCAATTCCGGATCTCGGCATGAAATGAGCTGCCCGAATATGGGTTTATACTGTAATCAGTGCTGTCTAATCCGGCGCATGGCGAGGATTCGGTTGGATGTGTATTGTCACCAATTAATCCTGCGTTGCAACTACATTGTTGCCGACAAAGACAATTTAATCTTAGTTCAGCATGGGTATACTTGTACATGTAACTGGTGAGTTGACATGTTTTATTGTGATACAAAAATGTATATGAGAGAGACAAAACTTTTTCACTTCTAGTCAGAAGTAACCGTGTCATCTGTACAATCCGGCACGCTGTCTAAACCTGTCTTATTTCTTTAGTCCCGACGAGTGCCGGTTTAGACAGCTTCCACTGTATATAAACCAAACATAAATGTGTATTCATTTTCCATCCTTACGGAAATATTTTCAGAGATGTTACTTTTGGAATGCAGGCTTGTTAACAAAACAAGAACATTTTCTTCTAATCAACTAAAAAAATTGTTTTGTTAGAAAATACATTACAAAGAAAGAATAATAATCAATAATTTTCATGTATCATAGTTGTCAGATAGCAGGAACTTCAAACCCCAGAGCTTCTAAAGAATGACCTGTGTGCACCATCTTCCCACATCTGGTTTGCAGTTACCTCAGAAAAAGTTTGGTCTCGTTCACCCCTCTCACCTGTTGGCCTTTCAGACATGGAGGCTCTAAACGGGGGAGTCAGGCAGGTATCTGGAGGTAAGTTAAATCTTACTCTCTGCTCTCACCTAATAACCTTTCCGACATGGAGGTTCTACAAGGGGGGTATTTGGAACACATGTATATGCATGTGAGGTAACACAGAACATGTACCAATACTTGCAGTTTGGTGAAAAAGGGTTCAAGATTGTTGCACTTATGTAGTAACTTGTGTACTAGTTCAGTTGTAGTTATAACAAGCATTGTCACTAAGGTGACATAATCCCCCGCTGTAAATTATCAAATCAAACTTAAAAAGTAATGAAAGTTTAAGATGAAGTTAAATGTCAACAAAAACATGACCAGTCAACCTCTCTTGATATCTTGCTCTTTAGTTGTTCAAACACACAAATATTTTCATGACTGACTTTGACCTTGACATGAATGTCATAGTGTAAGAAATATGCAAAAGTGGTACTAAAGAAATTGCTTATTGAAAAACATTCAAGGGAAGTCTTGAAAGTCTATGAAGAAAATCCAGTGAATTCAGGTTAACATGCTGAAATTTTCAAAGTGTCGCTGTGACCTTGAAAATTAGGTGACGGTCACCAAAATCAACTGGACCCTGCGCCTTCCCTGGATGAAGCTTGGCATTGAATATGAAGGAAATCCAGTGAATGGTTCTTGAGATATCTCGCTGACAAGCGTAACATGCAGGTTAATATGCTGAAATCTTCAAAGTATCTCCATGACCTTGAAAATTATGTGAAGGTCACCGAAATCGACTGGGCCCTGTGCCTTCCCTAGATAAAGCTTGGTGTTGAATATGAAGAAAATCTAGTAAACAGTTCTTGAGATACATGACAACAGTAAAACTTTAAAGTCCCCTTGTGACCTTGAAATGAAGGTCAGACAGACGGACGGACAGAGCATAATACTATATCCCCCGCTTCGCGCTAAATGCGCGGCGGGGTTAACAAGTATCTCACATCTGACCAGTCCTTGTTGTATTCTTGTAGTGCAAAGCACCAGTCAGGATACCAACAATTACAGACCTTTCAACATATTTTACTGTGATGTAATGTTCTCAGGGATCCATCTCAGGCAATGGGTCCTCTATCTCACTCTCTATACATGAGCTTTCACTACCCCCATCTCAGGCACTGGGTCCTCTTTCTTACCTAAAACATGAGCTTCCACTACCCCCATCTCAGGCACTGGGTCCTCTATCTTACCTAAAACACAAGCTTCCACTACCCCCATCTCTGGCACTGGGTCCTCTATCTTACCTAAAACATGAGCTTCCACTACCCCCATCTCAGGCACTGGGTCCTCTATCTTACCTAAAACATGGGCTTCCACTACCCCCATCTCTGGCACTGGGTCCTCTATCTTACCTAAAACATGAGCTTCCACTACCCCCATCTCAGGCAATGGGTCCTCTATCTTACCTACAACATGGGCTTCCACTACCCCCATCTCTGGCACTGGGTCCTCGATCTTACCTAAAACATGGTCTTCCACTACCCCCATCTCAGGCACTGGGTCCTCTATCTTACCTAAAACACAAGCTTCCACTACCCCCATCTCAGGCACTGGGTCCTCTATCTTACCTAAAACATGAGCTTCCACTACCCCCATCTCAGGCACTGGGTCCTCTATCTTACCTAAAACATGGGATTCCACCACTACCACTGGCTCAGGCACTGGGTCCTCTATCTTACCTAAAACACAAGCTTCCACTACCCCCATCTCAGGCACTGGGTCCTCTATCTTACCTAAAACACAAGCTTCCACTACCCCCATCTCAGGCACTGGGTCCTCTATCTTACCTAAAACATGGGCTTCCACTACCCCCATCTCAGGCACTGGGTCCTCTATCTTACCTAAAACATGGTCTTCCACTACCCCCATCTCAGGCACTGGGTCCTCTATCTTACCTAAAACACAAGCTTCCACTACCCCCATCTCTGGCACTGGGTCCTCTATCTTACCTAAAACATGAGCTTCCACTACCCCCATCTCAGGCACTGGGTCCTCTATCTTACCTAAAACATGGGATTCCACTACCACTGGCTCAGGCACTGGGTCCTCTATCTTACCTAAAACATGGGATTCCACTACCCCCATCTCAGGCACTGGGTCCTCTATCTTACCTAAAACATGGGATTCCACTACCACTGGCTCAGGCACTGGGTCCTCTATCTTACCTAAAACACAAGCTTCCACTACCCCCATCTCAGGCACTGGGTCCTCTATCTTACCTAAAACACAAGCTTCCACTACCCCCATCTCAGGCACTGGGTCCTCTATCTTACCTAAAACATGGGCTTCCACTACCCCCATCTCAGGCACTGCTTCCACTCCCCATCTCAGGCACTGGGTCCTCTATCTTACCTAAAACATGGGCTTCCACTACCCCCCATCTCAGGCACTGGGTCCTCTATCTTACCTAAAACATGGGCTTCCACTACCCCCATCTCAGGCACTGGGTCCTCTATCTTACCTAAAACACAAGCTTCCACTACCCCCATCTCAGGCACTGGGTCCTCTATCTTACCTAAAACACAAGCTTCCACTACCCCCATCTCAGGCACTGGGTCTCTATCTTACCCTATACATGAGTTTCCACTACCACTGGCACAGGCACTGGGTATGTTTCACACTATCCACTTTACACAGGCAGTAATTCAGTAAAGCAAGTACATATATGCAATATATCCCTATTTACAAATACCAATATGCTGACACTTTCAAACATGACAGCTAATAGGAAGTAAAATGGAAGGTATAGCTGACAGCCAAACCATGACTAAATGCAAACCCTAATTGTAGCAACATGTGCCGTGCACACCTCACATGGTGGTATGGATTACTTTTGAGACGGCACCAAAATAGACACATAAATATAACATTTCACTTATCTTTAACACTTGAGAAGCCGTGCATCTTGCAGTTCAAAATAACTTGGTAATTCTAGATGTATGACATAGTTGCTCTGGGTGTTCTAGCTCAGTCATGGGAAGTGGTCTTTCTATGAAAGCACTGTTCAGTATTTGTTTCATAAGTGATTGACTGAAACAGTGACGAAACAACAAGATATACCAACTCAATACAGTCATGCGAGACATCATCCAATGGGAGGCAGAATGGAGGATTCTCACCTTCCAATATCAACTCATGTATCTAAT